TTGTAACATGTTGGGCTCAACTCCAAACATGTTGGGCTCAAACTTTACACCTCTATTGTTAGTTTGAGTCGAGGTTGGTGGATAAGACAATAATCATTATTCTAAAAATTGATACTCATTGCAAAGGAATCATATGAACATGAACCAAAATATGACACTCGAGTAAACGAGAGATACATAAATGAACTGAGATTACATCTAAATGAAAGCGATCTTGAGGATAAAATGATTAAGAACTATATCAACAAGGTAATCTTCCTTTTCGGTAGCTCAATCACAAGAACTCTAAAATTACGTTCTTCCTTTATTCAAAATAGAATGATCGGTTTGAACAATAAACTTCTTTTTTATAACGATATAATATTGTTCGATTGAGTTGGTATTGGTAAGATTTTATTTTTAAACCCTTCGAAAAAGTCTCGACTTTTATACATATGAACTATTATGTCGTCTTTACTATGGAACGACGAAGTTCAAATTCCAAACCGAGCTAGTTAGATCAAGAAAAGAAACCTGAGTCATATTAATAATGGATGGAACAGGAATGTGATGGGATGTTTGATTGATTCTAAGAAACATAAGAAACAAAGTGTGTTTGGGATAATATATAACACTGACTTTTAGCAGACTTTCTCCACACAAAAAACACATTGCCTTTCACACATACACACATACCTAATTATTCTCTTGTTGGGACACCCCAAATGGCTACCCGCCAATCCTCTCTCCCCCGACATGAAATAATGGATCACGATAATGTAGGTCTCGTTCGATAATAATAATGTAGATCTCGTTCGATAACAATTTGTATTTTTATTTCTGGTTTCAAAAACTAAGTTTCTCTTTAAGGGTGTTCTTGAGTTAAGTTGAGACGTTTTTTTAGATCAAACCTAATTCTTCGGGTTTTAAATTTGTTAACCTAAATAACTTTTAATACTTTTATTAAAGTTTTATTTTATTTGAACTAAACCCAAATAAGTTCATAATTCAACACAAAACGGTTTGGTTGGGTTGATTGCTTTTTTTGGATTATCCAGTTTTTTGAACATCCCTATCTTTGACTAATGTTTTCAAAATCTACTGCAACCTAGTTTAAAAGGACTAACTACATTAGTTTTTTTTTTTTTTATTCCCGAAACTCGAAATGAGCAAGTGACCCAATGTTCTCTTTCTCTTCTATAGGATGAGGGCCGACATTGAATTTTCTCGCTCTTATCTATCTTTCTCTCCTATAGGACGAGGGTCTGACATTGAATTCTCTCGCTCTTATCTATCTCCACGTGGCGAATTGGGAAACCAATAGACATGGATAGGGACATACAAAAGGATATATGAAGATCATTGACCAAATTGGCACTATGGAATAGAGAATGGAAGGGCTAAGAAGAACTTGTCCTTTTGTGTTCACATTGGTTGCATTATTGTCTATCATTGTGCTTCAAACCCACTTTTTCTTCACATCTCTTCTCCACAAACACCAACCATCTCATGACAGATATTTTAGTTTTGGAAGATATTTTTTACATGACCGACCTCGTTTAATTTACCCGATAAGATTAAGTTTCGTGGGTTTAACAGTAATTTGAACGTAGTTGCGTAAAAAATAAGAAATTGAAGTAACATCTCATGCCTGGGATTCAAATCAAGAGGTTGGAATTTGGATTTGAGATCTAATGACCCAACATTCTTTTGCGATATTATCACGTTACCTATTTGTATTAAACTATTTCTAAAAGTGAAGATCACGCCGCTTGAGAGGAAGTAAATCATCCCGCTGGCGCTCTTACGATCATCAACGTCACCGACCATGTCACTATCATTGTAGCCGACTAGCTCAAGCTTCTTCTTTTCTCTCCTTGCGCAGTATCTCACACCCTAGCCTCTGGTTTTGACCATATAACACAGGATGCACTTGACAGCCACAAGATGCTCCTCCCTAGGTAATTCCATAAACCTACTCACGTATCCAATGGAATAAGCAAGGTCGACTAGTCTCATAGACCAATATAGGATTCCTTCAAACCAAATGTCACAATCTCACTCTTGTGATAATAGGATAGCTATTGTGTGGTATTTGTTCTAATTCGGTGAACAAGTCAAACGTATGATTGAGCCTCGATCACGTTTGAGAGAAAGTGTCTTAGAGAACGTGAGCGAAGAAAAACATTGAAGACGATTTTTAAGAAAGCAATGTTAAAGACTAAAAGCAAACAAGCAACCACCACAGTTTTGATAGCATATAGTCAAGTAGAAAGAATTGATGACCAGTTAGATCCTCCATAGTACATTTTAAGGTATTTTAGCTTGCACGTGCAGACCTAATTTTGGTAAACAGTCATACACCCTCGTATTAACATGACACGAATAATAAGACCTAACTATATACGAAAGCAAGTTAAAACGGGAATTGGTGAGAGAAAAATTAAATAATATATGCATAGAGAGAGAGAAGAGATGGAAATGAATGCCAAACAAGTATGAATTTGACGTTTCAGATTCTAAGTGTCAGAACATGTTTTATGATAAATCAGTCTGAACAATTTACCATAGATCTCAACGCTCCCCTTTCCTCTTTCTATCTCTATATTATTTTTTTTTTTTTAATACTATTCTTTTAAGCTTTTAGTTAAACGAAAGATCCCACGGTAGTCGTAGACTGAACAAAATATTCTCTATAAGGGTATGAAAATCTCTACTGTGAGGTTGACGGTGATATGTAACGGGCTAAAACGGACACATAAAAGTCAGATTCAAATTTCTGTCCGCATGTGAAATATAGAATAAAGCTCTAATATCATAGTCTAGATACGTGAGTCGTTATCTAACCCATTAACCCTAAAACTTAAGAACTTTGGCAATATTCTGAATGATGTTTACCCTAAAAATAGAACCGTAGGTTTGGCCCATTACAATATCTCTTTTGTGTTTTTTATGCTCTTTTTATTAATCACTCTACCTAAAGTTGAAAATTTTAAGACGAAACGCAACGTCTAATTTATTCTTAAGTTTATATTTCGGAAAAAACAAAGCACCAAATATGATAAATCAATTGAATGATCAAATAACGAGAGATGATCTCACATGAAGAACAACTTCTTGTTCAGGGTTATCAGATGAGAGATTTTTATAGATCAGCCCGACTAATAGTTACTTTGATATGCTACACATCAAATATAGAACATAGAGTCGGGATAATAACTTTTTTGGAGGGTCAATAATTGTGAGATCCCATGTCGGTTGGAGAAGGGAATGAAACATTTCTTCCAAGGGTGTGGAAATTTCTCTTTAACAGATGCGTTTTAAAACCGTGAGACTGATGGTGATACGTAACGGATCAAAACAGACAATATATGGTAGCAGTGGGCTTGGATGGTTACAAATAGTATTAGAGTCAGACATTGGGTGGTGTGCCAGTGAGGACGTTAGCCCACTAAGATCCCATAAGAATGTGGAAACCTTTCCTTATACCTCTTCCTAACATATGTATTTTGAAACCGTGAGGTTGACAACAATACGAACAGGTCAAAATGGACAATATATCTACTAGTGGTCTACTTTTTTTACCAGTTCTTCTCTTCATTTGTCTGGTTATTTTTCTCGAGTAAACACAAGTCATTTCAAAGGTTTATCTCCTCTCTTTGGTGAACGTATTGACATGGAGCCTCTCTCCAGCATTCAAATGATCAGTAACATGAGCTCGATATCCAACAAATCGTATAGCTGCTTGTCTTAGTTCAGCTAGTACAAATAGAGCTGTATGACACATATCTATAGCAAACGGTCTTGTCTTCGATATAAAATCAATTTCGTGGTATCAATTTGGATATGAGCATCATAGAATATGATTAAAAATGTATATATGTGTGCCTATTTGCTTCCCTCATTGCATGAAAAGCATATAAAGGCAAAAGAAGAACTGATGGGAGCAGTGATATGGGTATATATAAAGTTTTCCTTTTAGCCCTTTATAATTATTAACCTTTACAAATAAGCCCATCTGTCTTTTGGCATAAAAACAAAAGCTATTGTACCAACATTAGGGTTTCATTGGTTCAAAAGGAGAGAACTTTGATAACTAGTTATATGCTAGTTCATCTACAAAGTTATTGCTACCAAATTTAAGTTTTGATATCAACAGAAAAAAAAAAAAAGGATGGTAGTCAATGATATTAGTGTAGGAATGATATCGATACGCGCTAAACGTCTTTCGTTTTTTACATGTTCGATTTTTTTTATCTTTGGACTTACATGTTTAAGAAAAGAACTTTCTATTTGGATATTATTAGCTTGGACCTGAAATTTTAACTATTTTTCTACCGATTTATATTCAAGCTTATTTTATTTTGCCCTTCAATTTAGCAGGGACGCGCTAGACATAGGATGGTGTGTCGGTAAGGAACAGAGCCAGACATCGGATGTGTCAGCAAGGACCGGATGGTGTATCAACAAGGATCGGATGGTATGTCAGCAAGGACCAAAGCCAGACACCGGATGATGTGTCAACAAGGACTAGAGCTAGACACCGGATGGTGTATCAGCAAGGACCGGATGGTGTGGTAGCAAGGACCAGAGTCAGACACCGGATGTGTCAGCAAGGACTAAAGCCAGACATCGGATGGTGTGTCAACAAGAACGTTGGGCTCCAAGAGGGGTGGATTGTGAGATCCCACATCGGTTGGAGAGGAGAATGAAGCATTAGTTACAAGGGTGTGGAAACCTCTCCCTAATAGACACGTTTTAAAACCGTGAGCCTAATGACGATGCGTAACAGGTCAAAACGGACAATATGTCTGCTAGCAGTGGACTTGGGCTGTTACAGCACAATTTCATTTTTTTCAATAGACTTCTTAACTTTCTTTTTGTTCTTTCGCTAAAAGATTTTTAACGTCGGTTATGAACATATACATTCTGATTAATCCGTTATTCACTTCTCTAAAGAACAGAAACTCAAATCTTTCATCTCTCATTGAGCAATAAATACAATATATTAAAAGACGGTATTCCACTGATTAACTTACATTCCCGAGTAAAACAGGGATACATACATAATAAAATCAAACACATTACATGGTAAAGGAAATTAGGGCAAATTTGAGTCATAAATGGAAGAACACATTCCCCTAACAATCAATAAAGGAGTTTTGAAGTGAAGATAGAAAGGAAAGGGAAAAGGAAACATATGGTGCATGGCTGTTAATTCTGTCCAAAGAATACCATTTTCAAGCAATGAAGAAGGTCTTGAATGGGTGGAGAGGACATCATGAGATGATATCATTTTCATCATCATTTCTTCAATCAATAGTGCAGCCCTGGCACTGACATATAATGCTTCTCAGATCCCTATCAATCAAGTCATCAAAACCAACTCAAAAGCTCACTCATAACACAAAATAATCCCTCAAACTTCCATACAAAAATAACCCTTCAAAAAAAAAAAAAAATCGAAACTAGACCGTTTTTCATTACTCGACCAAGAAAATTTCGATGTAGCTAATCGGGTCTCATCTTGTAATAGTTCAAACACACCGCTAACAGATATTGTCTTCTTTGGGCTTTCCCTTTCGGGTCTCCCCTCAAATGTTTAAAATTCATTTGTCAGGAGAAGATTTCCACGCCCTTATAAAAGTGTTTTGTTCTCTTTCCAACCAATCTGAGACATCACACGTCTAATAGCTACAAATATCTTGAATCTTAAGAAACAAAAAGAAAAGTAGTCTTCAAAACTCTATTTTTGGGAAGTAAAGAACGTTGATACTCACTAACCAAAAAAAAAAAAAAAAAAAAAAACCCAAACAAAACCTGTCAAACCAGTTTAAGTATCAAATAAACCCACTCATAATAAAAAATAATCTTCCAAACTTCCCAAACTTTCAAATTTCCCTCCACTATTTAAAACCTTCAAAGACTAGCCCGTTTTTCATTACTCGACCAAGAAAATTCCGACGTAGCTAGTCGGGTCCCATCTAATAGCTACAAGTTCCTCGACTCTTAAGAAACAAAAACCCTATTTTTCATTACTCAACCAAAAAAATTCCGACGTAGCTAGTCAAGCCTCATCTAATAGCTACAAATTCTTCCAAACCCTATTTTTTACTAACAAAAAAATAAAAATAAAAATAACAAAACCGAACAAATACTTTTAGATATCAAATCAACTCACATCCTTCTGAGTCTTGAGATTGTTGGCTTCCAGCATGAGGCATTGAATGTGTGGGTAATGTGCCCACTGCCATTTTCAGAAACAAGCAAGTCAATACCCAAAAGATTGCCATATTTTCCAATATTAAAAAAATTGAATGCTGTACTTACATTTTTAGCAGCAGTACTGAATGCTTCCCTGTGGGTAATATCTGGATTATTTGCTTTGATCCTCTGGATTTCCTCTCTGAATTTTAGGTAATTTTGTCAGATTTCAAAAGTAAAAGTAAAATTAAAATGACCCATCAAAAAAGAATTTCATAAAAATCAACAAAATTTCATTTTTTTTTTTTTTTGCATACTTTATGAACTTATTATATGCAGAAGGTACTCTCTGCTTCTTCTCGGGAGCTGAAAATTGAAAATAACAACTCTTAGGCCATATTTTATATGAGGAAAAACAACAAATCTTAGGCCTTTTTTTTTTTAAAACTTACGTCTGTTGATCACTCTTTGATCATCATTTGTATTGTTTTGAATTGGTGCTCTCGTCTTCATTTTGTTGTTGCATTTTGATGATGAGCCCAATTCTACCCTGTAATCAGCTGCATTTCCATTGTGGCTGTGGCTTGATGCCTATAGAGAGAGAGAGAGAGATTAAGCTAATCATGTTAGAGAGATATGAAGTTAAGTGTTTACCTTGGATGATCAAAGTCTATCGTCCCGCTAATTTAGGGAATGTTCAAGGGTTTATAATTCAAGAATACTGTCTCCATTGATGTGAGGCCTTTTGAGAAGCCCAAAGCAAAGTCATGAAAGCTTATGCTCAAAGTGAACAATATCATACTATTGTGGAGAGTCGTGTTCGTCTGACCTAACCGTTTAAACCCATTTCATAAAATGAGTTTGGGCTTTGCTTCTTTTTTTAGAAAGGAAACAAATAAGCTAATTTAGAGAGATCAAAGTTAATAATAGGTTCTAGAGAGAGATATGTAAGAGCATTAGGAGGGGAGGAGAATGAAACACTCTTTAGAGGAGCTTGAAAATCTCTTCCTAGCAGACACGTTTTAAAAACCTTAAAGGTAAGTCCGAAAGGAAAAGCTAAAAGAGGACAATAATTGGTAGTGGTGAGCTTGGATCGAAATACTATCGTAAGAGTGTGAAAACCTCTCTCTAGTTTTTAAAACCTTGAAGACAAGTCTGAGAGGAAAAATTAAGAAAAGACAATATCTGGTCGCGGTGGGCTTAGACCGAAACACTCTATAAAAGCGGGAAACCCTCTCTCGAGTAAGCCCGAAAGGAAAAGCTCAAGGAGGACAATATCTAATGGCGGTGGGATTGGACCAAACGCCTCTTATAACAGTGTGAAAATCTCTCTCTAGACACGTTATAAAAATCTTGAAAGAAAACACGAAAGAAAAAATGTATAGAAGAGCAGCGGTGGAGTTGGAAGATTACAGGTATGGAGCTAATGATTCAAACCCATTTCACCAAATCTATTTTGGGTTGATGGGTGTTGAAAGAGAGAGATTATAAGCCATGATCTCAAACAAATGGTTCAAAAATTGAGTTTCAAGAAAGAAAATCCAAAAGAAAAGATGAGAAACCATCGGTTCATCGATCTGTTGTTTCAACAGCAGAAGACAAAAGCTTTGGAAAAGACATGAAAGATTCAACCTAGAAACCCTAACACCAACAACAAATCAATCAAATCAAATCAACCCAATTGCCTCGAATTTTGAAAACTTTCTTTCTTGATCTTAGCAACCCTAAAATAGGTTATGGGATATGGCGGCCACCGCCGCCGCCGCCGTATAGGGTTTTCAAAACTGACCCATGTTCAAAATTCAAAAGAATCTTTGAAATAAATTAATTAATTACCTGAGAATTTTTCCATGAGAGAGATTGGAAAGCGGCGGCCATGTTCACCGACCAGAGGTTGCTGCAGTGACCACATCGGACTGTCACTATGTCTAAGAGATTGCTGCATGGAACACTCACCTGTTTCATCATACATAATTTTTAATTTCATTTTCTGGAGAACAAAGGAAATTAAAAGAACCCCAAATGTTACTTTTTGTTAAAAAAAGTTCAAGATTTTAGCCCTAGCTGAGCTAGTTTGAAGGAGAATAAAAAAAATGAAGATCTCCCTAGTCATGGTGGGTTTCTAGTTCTTTCCGAAATACTCGAAATCTTTACGAATTTGAACCTAACTCAACTGTTTTCTGGTAAATTTGCTCTAGAATTTTATGCTCCAAACTCTTTTGACCTATTTAAACATACCTGAACTTTTGAATGAGAAAAAAAAAAGATCAAGATTTCGATAATCAAAGTGGGTTTCTAGTTCTTTTCGAAATACTTGAAACCCTTTTGACCAATTTGAACGTAAGTTTTCTTGTAAATTTACTCCAGAACCTTGATGCTCCAAACTCTTTCGACCAATTTGAATCTAGCTGAACTTTTGAATGAGAAAAAAAAACGATGAAGATCTCCTTAATCAAAGTGGGTTTTTAGTTCTTTTGCTCAAATGACCAATTTGAACCTAACTCAATTTTTTTCTTGTAAATTTACTCAAGAACTTAGCTCGAAACTCTTCTGACTAATTTGAACATGGTTCAACTTAGTAAGATATTAGCAAAGTTCGAATCGATCTCGGGAATGGGTGCAAAATTAGAGGAAAAAGAAACACAATACTCTTAGAGAAGCAAGGAATGGTCTTTTAGGGATCAAAAGAACTCTCCCTCTCTCTCTAGAATGGCCATGCTTGAGCAGCAAAATTAGAAGGAAAAAAACAAACCCACAAAGCAAAATTACACAACAAATCCAATAAAAAAGCATAGGAATGGTCTTTTGGGTTCTCTCTCTTCAAAGCAAGTGATGTATATCTGAAAACTTCAAGAGATAGGGAAAAAACCAGATCTTTATAGCAAAAACGAATGAATTAGACACCAATTTGGAGTGGATGAAACTATATACCGCAAGAACAATATTGCAAAAATTGCAGGGAATATAGCAGAGTTGCTCCTGTGCACTGTTGATGCAGCTTGACATGATTGAGCTTAGAAGAAAAAGAACAAAAAAATGAAGGTTTTAGAAGTGAATGGAGATTAAATGAGAAAACCCTCCAAATGAAATGAGAAATAGAGCAAGAAGATAGATGCTTTATGTTCTTCTGGTTTCAATGTATCAAAACAGTGAAACTTCTAGCTTATATATAGAGAAAAAGGCTTGTGCTTTAGAGAGAGAGAGCCAAAATAGGATCCAAAAACCAAGAAATAAACAACCAACTGTGTTACATATCACTGTCAGCCTCACAGTTTTAAAAATGAATATTTCGTTCCCTCTCCAACCGACGTGGGATCTCACAATCTACCCTCTTGGGGACCAGCGTTCTCGCTAGCACACCGCTTGGTGACTAGCTCTCATACCATTTATAACACCGAAACCCACCGCTAGTAGATATTGTCCGTTTTGGCCGGTTACGTATCGCCATCAGTCTCACGGTTTTAAAACGCATCTACTAGGGAGAGGTTTCCACACCTTTACGAGGAATGCTTCGTTCCCCTTTCCAACACCGAGGTAGAATCTCATAATTCACCCTCCTTGGGGACCAATGTCCTGACTGGCACATTGCCCAGTGATTGGTTCTGATACCATTTGTAACAATTCAAGCCTACCACTAGTAGATATTGTCCGTTTTGACTCGTTATGTATCGTTGTCAGCCTCACGATTTTAAAACGTGTCTGTTAGGGAGAGGTTTCCATACCCATATAAGAATGTTTTGTTTCCCTCTCTAACTGATGTAAGATCTCACAATCCTCTCGCTAGGGAAAGGTTTCTACACACTTATAAGGAATGTTTTGTTTCCCTCTCTAATCGATGTGGGATCTCACAATTTACCCTCCTTGGGGGCCAGTGTCCTCGCTGGCACACCGCCTAGTGACTGGTTCTGATACCATTTGTAACAGCCAAAGCCCACTGCTAGTAGATATTATCCGCTTTAGCCCGCTACGTATCGTCGTCAGTCTGACGATTTTAAAACGCGTATGCTAGGGAGAGGTTTCCACACCCTTATAACGAATGCTTCATTCCACTCTCCAACTAACATAAGATCTCACAGAACCAAATGGTTATCAAACAGTGTTTAAATTATAAAACTTTTCTCGTGCTCGAGAAAATTTATGGCTCGACTCCGGAGTCATGCTTTCGGAATGACACATTATGTAAAGATTGATTCTTTTACAAAACTCAGATGAGTATATTTACTGTAGAACTTATGGGATTGGCAATAAAGCAATACTATTATTTGTTTCTTTTTTATTTTTGGGAGGAGAAAAATTATGGGGTTTCAGTAGTGCCCACGGCAGGCAGGAAAATGCTGGGACCAGCAAGCCAAAAAAGAGAGATGTTAAGTGTGGTGGGTACTTATAGTGTTTTATAAGGGAAAAAAGTTGTTTCAGCCATCGATGTGCTGTGCTTTGATGTGATACAAGCTTTTGGATTTGAAGAACAAGATGAACATCAACAAGAAGAAGATGAAACAGGCCTTTGGCTGTATTGCCATTTCTTTTCGAGCTATGATTTCGATAATAACGATGAAATGATTGATCTATAACAACTCAAGTCCACTGTTAGTATATATTGTCCGTTTTGGCTCGTTATGTATTGCCGTCAACCTCACGGTTTTAAAACGCGCCTACTAGAGAGAAGTTTCCACACCCTTATAAAAAATGTTTCATTCCCCCTCCAACCGACGTGGGATTTCACACGATCTCTCCTTCTCTTGAGCTAAAATTTCACAGTATACCAGAAGAGAAACTATTCGATGTAACTGATACAATGTAATTACTTTTATAATTTTTTAGTTATGAAAAACGAGTCGACTTAGAGTAAGACTCAGCTAGTTATGAATATATATCGTCGATCAACGACATCCACATTAGTTTCTCGTATTAGATCGAGTTCATGAATTTAATATCAGTTTGAAATGTTGACCCGTTCGAAAATCTTTGGATCTAACTTATATGCCCTTCCTCGTTTCTGAGTGTCTACATATTTACAGTAAACTTCCGGAGGTTAAATATTTAAACCTCTCTCACTCTATAGTATATGAAAAAGGAAAAAAAGAAGAAAGAGAATAAAGTAGGCAAATTACTTTTAACATAGGTCCAAATTTGCTTTCAATTTTGTGAGCGGTAATTCTATGTTGGGCGACTTCCTAGGAATTTTCCTAAGATGCACAAAACATGTTGGAAAAATTTGTGTTAGTCTATAGGGATATTCTTCACTCTTAAGAAGCGAATAGTAAGTAACATGACCAAGTCGTAGCAGAATGTTGGAGTCATTAGGTGTTGGATCTAGATTTCGAATCCTGGGCATGGACCGTTACAAATGATATAAGAACGGTGCCTCTGCTTTCATATAATAGTCTAAGTCCATCGCTAGCAGATATTGTCTGCTTTAGTCCGTTATGTATTGCCGTTAACTTCACAGTTTTAAAATGCACCTAGAAGAGAGGTTTTCACACCCTTATAATAAATGTTTCGTTTCTCTCTCCCTCCAGCCAGGGTGGGATATCACAATCCACCCTCAGCATAGTAGACACGTTTTAAAATCGTGAGGTCACACTCTTATAAGAAATGTTTCGTTCCTCTCTCCAACCAACGTGGGATCTCACAATCTATCATCTCCATAGCAGACACGTTTTAAAATTGTGAGGCTGACAACGATACTTAACGGATTAAAGCAGATAATATCGGTTAATGGTGGACTTGGGTTGTTACATTTCATCTCTATCGTTGCTCTTATTTGTATGTTTCTCGCATATGCATTCGTTCGTTGATACCACGGTTTCTAATTATTAATTTAAAAAAAAAAATAATTAGCCCTCCCTTTCACTTTCCTATTTATTAGTATGAATGGTTGAAGCAAATTGGTGAGGGCCATGGTTGATAGGTTAGCTAAGGGTTCTTGTTCGTGGTCCTAGAAGAAGGAATAAATCAATTGAAAACTACTTCATTTCTTGTCATTTTCAACTAGACAAATATAATCAAATCACTACAATTAATGCTTTCATGAGAGATTATGATATATTCAAATTCTTGTATCAATTTTCATTGTTATTCCTAAACGACTCATGTCCAGGATTCGAATCAAGATTTGAAATCCGAATTTGGCACCTGATGACTTTGGTATTGTGATGTCCCACATCGGTTGGGGGAGGAGAACAAAATATTATTTATAAAGGTGTGGAAACGTTCCCCTATCAGCGCATTTTAAAGCCATAAGGGAAAGCTTAAAGAGGACAATATCTACTAGCGGTGAATATGGGTCGTTACAAATGGTATCAAAGCTAGACATCGGACGATGTGTCAACCTTCTTGCTGTTCCCCGAAGGGGGGTAGACATGAGACGGTGTGAGAGTAAGGACGCTGGGCCCTGTAACGGGGTGGATTTGGTGGCGGTCTCCTATCGATTGGAGAAAGGAACAAGTGCCAGCGAGGACGCTGGGTCTTGCTGTTCTCCGAAGGGGGGTAGACATGAGATGGTGTGAGAGTAAGGACGCTGGGCCCCATAGGGGGGTGGATTTGGTGGCTGTCCCACATTGATTGGAGAAAAGAACGAGTGCCAGCGAGGACGCTGACCCCAAAGGGGGGGTGGATTATGATGTCCCACATTGGTTGGGGAGGAGAGCAAAACACCATTTACAAGGGTGTGAAAACCTTCCCCTAGCAAACACACCTTAAAGCCTTTAAGGGGAAGCCCGAAAGGGAAAGCCAAAGAGGATAACATCTGCTAGCAGTGAATTTGGGCCGTTACAGGTATTTCCATACAACGTGGTCACATAACATCCTTAGACCAACACGAGCCCTTTCTAGATACTTTGTTCTCACGTGCTACCTAGAAAAATTTATATGAGGTCACCCTATATAAAATTGCTCTAAGTAGCCTTTGAAGTTTATATGATTGATCCACTGAAAAAGCAAATGTATCTTGTTGGTATAGGTACAGAAGTATCATTTAGACGTTTATATGATTGATCCACTGAAAAAGCAAATGTATCTTGTTGGTATAGGTACAAGAAAACGAATAGATGTAAATTATCACTGAACTATGCCCATATTGGTAAATTATAACAAAAACTGACAAACTTACAAGATCGACGAGAGCTAAACATAAACCTAATTTGTATATCAATCAAAACCTAGACATGCATTAAAAAGTTGGAGAATGTTCATCACATGCATTTTATCCAAAGATCCAATAAATTTGCAAAACAATCAAAGAAAGAACAATTATGAGATAAAGGAGAGTTGGAGCAAGTGAGCATGGAGTGGGTCCTCGAGACCATATTTTGCACCCAACATGTTAATGATCTTCAAAGTTGTCTCAATTTTCACCTACATGCTAACGTGTTCATATGTGAATTTTGGATTTATCACTTGAGCCATTGAAAAAGAAGGTATACTTAGATGGTGTTTTTTTAACTATCATCTCTTATGGATCACTATCATTCAAATGTGGGATTAGTTCATTTATGTGCCCTCACTTACTCTGACCTTACATGCTCACTAGCTTTCCGAGCTTCGTCTCTAGCCAGATCCTACTGGAAATGTTCTGATTTGATACCATCTATAGTGCCTCATGCCAAAAATTTGGATAAGGATTTAAAATCTAAATTTGACACTTTACATCACGACAATTCCCAATCGTTCACAAATCGTCCTTTAATCGTCCTTTTAGCATACTCTATTCTCACTCACATGTTTCATTGAAAATTCTTACAAGATCAGTCAACATAGAATTGCTTTAAGTCAAACACGTTTAACATTAAAGTTCCTGATATTGAGCGACATAACAGAAATGTGCACCTTATTAGTTTAGATAGTAACCATTAATTCTCTCGAGCATTTCTTAACCATCGAATGAGTTGAAAAACTATGATGACCCAGATCCACCGTTAGCAGTTTTCTTTGGGCTTCCCCTTGAGGCTTTAAAACGTGTCTGCTAGGGGAAGATTTCCACACCCTTATAAAGGATGTTTTGTTCTCCTCTCCAACCAATGTGAGACATCACAATCCACCCCCCTTCGGGGCCCAACGTCCTCATTGGCACTCTTTCCTTTCTCCAATCGATGTCCGCTAGCCCCAAAGAGGGGTGGATTTGGTGGGGGCCCACATCGAT